TATAAAAACAATATACTTTAGCAATGAATATTAAAACCAGGTTGTGTAACACTACAAATCTCAAGAATATGTATAGCTAATTCAATTAACACCAAAACCATTTGTTTCAGTTGCATCGGTTCTGTTTGTAAATGGCATGGAGGCAGTCACGTGTCAAGTTTCCCTTTCAAAGCACTTGCCATTTTGAGGCATGAGCCAAAAAATTATAGACGTGGCAATTCACGATTTTGTGATATTTGCAAAAGCCTTCAGCATTATTTCGTTCAACTTTCTGAAGGACCCGTTAAGAGGATTGAGCCACAAATCATGGCTACGTCTGGGGAGGAGGGGGAGGTGGTGACGGTGGAGAGTCTGACTCAACTCTGCTGCGTTTCACTGGTAAGCAGTGATCGTGTGCCTTTCTGATGTGCCTGTACAAGTCTCCAGACTGTGTGTAACTACGGTAACAGTAGCTGCACTCATAAGGTCGTTCCCTAGTATGCACGATGGCATGTCTCCTCAGGGTGTAAGCACAGGAAAAAGTCTTTCCGCAAGTGTTACAAGTAGGCACATCCTCTACGTAACTCCCAAGCGAGTCATGAAAATCCTCAAGGTACATGGCCTGCTGCTCCGGCTGGGAATTGGCTGGAAAAAGAGATGATGAAAAGCTGGTGGTTTCTGCTGCAGAAGTATTAGGACCTTGCGGTGAGGGAGGGAAAGAAATGGGTTCTTGATGTGGAAGATGAATTAACTGGTGTGCAGATATGAACTGAGTATCAGTCAGCTCCTCAACATCATGGTTGCTGTCGTCATAATCATCCACATGATCTATATCTGCACTTCTACTTGGGCCATCATCCATGACCACAGTCTCATCTACGTCATCAGACTCTTCGTCAGAAATCACAATGGCCTCCACTTTCACTTTAAAGCGATCTTCATTTTCCTCCCTTGATGTTTGCGAAAGAGATTTTTTACGCTTACTTTGCATGTTTCTTGTATTGGGCAAAGTGTTCTCATGTCTCCTTCCATTCTGGCTCTCAATGTGTTGTGAAGACCCTGGATTTCCTGCACCTTTATTCTGGATTTGGGGTTTTAGTGTTTGAACCGGAATGAAAACGCTAGGTTCATGTTCTTGGGCAGCACTAGCGTTGTCCACGCTGTTCAGAGCCACGGCAGTGGTTACAACAGGATGCGTCTCTGTCTGAATTAGTTCTGTTGTACTACATGGACTTGAAAGTGCCGACTCGAGGCTAGCAGACCGTGCCGAAATTCTTGTCTTGTCAGGTCTAGGTGAAGAATGATATGTGGACGAACCCGAACAAGAATTATTAATGGCTGGTTGCGAGTCCATTCCTGGTTGGGTTGTGTCCGCCATTTCTGAACTCTTGGCGCTGTGCGTGAGGAGATGAGCCATCCCTGCTTGTGTTTCAGTCTTGGTATCAATATAAAGTGACATTTGTTGACTCGACTGAGGACAATGTGCTACTGCTCCATCTCTTCCTGTTTCTGCACCAGTTATGTCTTCTCCATTCGAGCCATCAAGTTCTCCAGGTTTAGCCGACTCGTTTGCTCCAACTTCTACTCTTGTACTATCCGCCTCAGCCAATCCTCGACCCTGCAGTCTTCTCTTACAAACTCGCACCACGTCATTCATATGTAGGAAGCTGGCTGCGGCGAGCACGTCCTCTGGAGGGGGGTGGGCTGCTAATCGCAGAACCCCTTCGTACATGAAATCAAGGAGGAGTCCAAAGGCTTGTGGGGTCACGATATCTCCATTAATAGTGACTGTGTCTCTCTGTGGCCCTCCGTTGATTGTGCTGGTATTCCCCATTGACTGATCGGAGTAAAACATATGGAAGAAAGGGGAGAAAGAGGACAACACGGCACGATGGGCTCCGAAACGAGTCGGGCCGACCTGCACGGTGCAGTCACATAGGAAACCTTGCAGACGCTGAGAGCGCAGGCTAGCCAAGAGCTGCTGACTATGTCCTGGAAACTCCATTTCTACTGACAACCTAGTAAAAAAATAAAGCCATGGTATACAGTTAATAAATATAGTTTATGCAGTGTATACATCAATAAAACATCTTTAATTCATAACATTAGAATCTACGTATTGTTAAGATGATATGTTTCTTACAGAAATGTCCAGAGTGCTGACAAAGTCCCCACGTCCACTTTAAGATCAGCTCTTTTGAAGCACCATCATGTTTGTTTTATGGATCCACTGGCAACAGTTGTTCGCGAATCCATACCAGTAAAATCATATGCTTGCATCTTGAAGCAATACAAACGGATTCCTCATATTCTGGTATTCTTCACACAGCATTTTTCTATTATAGGTTATTACACCAAACCTTCACCGGAGCACCGTTATATAAATCGAAAGCAGCGCCACATATCCTTAAAATATGCTTCTAGCCAAGAGGACAGCATCTGGCATATTTCATTTCTAATATGTGATTTTTACCAAACATTTGTACGCGATTCTGCAATGTTTTCTTTTAGAACAATACATCACGAACACACGCTTCTACGTGCAGTACGTTCGGCTTGTGAGAACGAGTGTGCTCTGCCACCTACTGACTGGGAGGAGAACGAACGCGTAAAAGTGTGCACAAATACACGAGGAATTTGTTGTGTTTCGTTTAAAAAGAAGTCCTTATTTTACAGAGACTGGTACAATAATGGTATAATCTGGGTGAGCTAGTAATTCAAGAATAATGGACATCTCTTTACTTACTGTGAATTCCTAAATTATTATAAGATCCCTGTATCTGATGTCATTCCTAGTGGTCTTATTCAGCTTTTGTTTTTTTGGAGTTTATCTCCTTAGGCTATTTATAAATAATAATTATAATTTTGCTATCCCCTTAATAATCCTCATGATTATTGTTAGCTATTTAGCAATCTGTTTATTTAAGAGAAAATAGTGAAACATTATTTATGGGGATAATGCAGTTCCTTGATAAAAACAGGAGAACAGGAGGGGGGAAATCAAATAAATAGTTACTTACAAATCGGTGTTAATTTAGTATAATTGAGATACTATCGTCTTTTAAGATTTTGAATTAGTTTTTATATTTTCAGTTTTAATTTTAGTTAAAGCTGTAGTAAATTTGTTGTGTGTTTTGACATTTTTATTAGTTGTTGTTTTTAACACATCTAAATTGTTTTTTATTAATTTTATCTTTACTTTGAATTATTTTAGTATCGTTAAACTAAATTTGCCTCGGAAACTAGCTGAAATAAAAGTTTAATTAGTTGTAAAAATATTTATATTTTATTTCAGTTTACGTGGCTTACTTAAAAAAAAACATTGTTAATGTTTTAGTTTTAAATATAATAAAAAATTGTATAATTACAAACAGTAAAAGTATGTTGTAAGGCATCCTATCAGTAAATTGAACAGGAATCCTTCACTTCGTCGATGGTTTTCATCGATGGCTTCACACTGAAAAGTTACCCATGATTCTCCGCACAGTCTGCGGCTCGTTCAGAAATGGAGGAGGGTGAGAGAGAGTCGGGAAACGTCTGACCAGCAAACCACTCCAGAGACCTCCAGTCAAAACATAGAAACTGACGGAGATGATATCGAAACTAAACTGGACATCAGCTCGGATAAGTTTGACCCTCTGCTCGCTCTGTATTCCCCACAAGTGCCATTGCCTTACCCCGGCATCAAGTGCTTTAATAACATCGCAGAATATGAGAGCTTCATGAAAGGCAGGCGAGCCCGAGCGAAACCCGAAAACGTGGAGAAAAGACTCCGAAAAGCACAGAAGGGTAAAGCAGACCCGGAGAGGCCAGAAAGGCTGAAGAGACTCATGGTGAACAGCCCGGTTGAGGAGGAGGGAGAGGGAAGCGGAGTCAAGCGACCACCTCGACAGCGAAAAGCGGCCAAAAATGTGCTTACCAGAATGCCACGTATGTTTCTCTCTTTACTGTCTAGCTCACAAGACGATAGTAAACACTAAACCTGGTCGCGCGCCGCTACTGTAGCCATAAATAGCTTGCACTTGAGCAGCAGAGCGCTATTATCATCAGTTATCAAAAGAGAGCGCGTTGTTGGTTTCAAGGTAGTCACATACTAATATACATGTTAAAACAAAGTTATACGGTTTGTGTGCACTGTATAACAAGGCATGATAAGGCTGCGTGATTGTTTTGCACACAATATTAAACATTCCTGAAACTTCCGCCGTCACAACGATATGAATAAAAAAATAGTTTTTAACTAATCTACGCTTGCACAATTGCATTTGCAGAAAGCACACACTTTATGGTAAAACATGAGCCTAAAATTCTAAATAATAAGCCTGATTAGGGATAGAAAAGATCCATTTCCGAAAGCAAAAACACAAAATTTGAAAAGTTGTAGGCCTAATTATTGTACTCACAGTTGTAAAAATGTTAAATACAGTTTTATTTTATTTATCATATGTTCTATGTTTGCTATTTGCAATCGCCTAGTTACTAAGCCTACTATTTTTCATAGTGTGATTTTTGGTGAATTGTATTAAAAAATCGGGCAAGTTTGATCCTCAAACAACACTGTAATTAGGCCTGTCAAATATGATATTAATATATGGAACCCACAACAATTAAAAAACAAAACATGTTGTCCCCATTTTTTAATTTGTGGATAATCACAAGTGAGATTTCAGTGATATTTTGACCACTGAACCAGGAAATATCCCTGGTTTTCATTTTAGAAATCTGCTCACCTTAATCTAGTTAGCTCACTAGGCTCTGAATCTTTTATTTGATTTTTTATTTTTTGCAGTGCACACAGGAAGTCCATTAGGACAGCTGAACAGATGTGTTCAGGAGAAAATCAGAGTCAAAGTTCACATCCGGACCTTTAAAGGGCTCCGGGGGGGTGTGTTCTGGCTTTGAGGTGGCATTTGATAAGTTTTGGAACCTGGTAAGTATTAAATCATCTTTACTTATTATTATAATTACTAATAATCATTATTAAGTTTAAATGTTTGTCTTTTTTGTTCTTTTGATGCCAGGCAATGGTGGATGTGGATGAAACATACAGGGAGCCTCTTTTGGGACAAGCTCTCTATCACCAGAAAGCGCTTACTGTCACAAGGGTGATTCATTTGAAAAAATGTAATATACATCTGAATATTCAGAACAACCAGTAGTTATTAATCCTTAATCACATCTAATATTGTTTTAAAAATATTAAATAGAAAAATAAACTTTTTTTACTATGCTTTATACTGAAGAATTAAAAAAAAAAACTAGGTTTTTTACACTTTAATATAATTATATTGCTTTATAACTCTAATTTAATTTATTTTCTATTACAGCTATTTGAAAAACTAAAAGTTCAAGAGACTGTGGCCCTCGGTGCAATTGAGAGGAAGTCAGACCTGCACAGTAGTTCATCTCATCTCGGAGACCAAACCAGGAGAACCCATCCCAAACATACCCAGGAGAGATCTGAACCCTCTGAGAAAGACAAGACTACATTAAAAGTGACGCAAAAATCTGAAACCAAGCCTAAAGTGGAATATGGTAGAGTGCACACACGTCATGTCAATGTTTTTTATATGAGGAGAAAACGTTCTTCTTGTGAACATGCAGCAGGACTAAAGACTACCCAGATGAAAGATTAGTTTACTTTCTATGGGGATCACCCAGAAAGGTTTTGTAAAATGAGTGTATCATATTGATATGTATATATTAACAGGTGAAAATATGTTAAAAGCTGAGCAAAATAAGCTCTTTTTAATTGTGGTTGTGTTCATGATCTAAGGTTGTATACTCAACACACACACTGTTTATTTTTGCTGCTTTGAATGACCACTAGGGGGAAGTAAGACACTGATGCACTGTAAGCATTGGTCTAATTTGTTGTATTTTGTAAATTATCAAGGGGAAAATGGTGATATATTTAACAAATCTTTGCTGATATTCACATCACTGTTCTGTTAAAAGGAAAGTCAATCTGGCCAGCCAGTACACACTCTTATTTTCATGTCAAACTGAATTTTCTGTTAGATGTTTACCTCTTTTAGCGTAAAAAAAATTGCAGTTGGGTCTCCATGGATTAAAAAAAAAAAAACAGTATAAATGGGTTAATTGAGCTTTTTGTGGTTGGAAATTGTATGTAGCACTCAAGGCTTTTTGTCGTGACATGTTTGCTTTTGTTTTTTTCCCTCACTGCATAAGCCATATACACATTTACTCCCCTCATGAAGAATATTTACAGTGGGGAAAAAAAGTATTTAGTCAGCCACCAATTGTGCAAGTTCTCCCACTTAAAAAGATGAGAGAGGCCTGTAATTTTCATCATAGGTATACCTCAACTATGAGAGACAAAATGAGAAAAAAAATCCAGAAAATCACATTGTAGGATTTTTAAAGAATTTATTTGCAAATTATGGTGGAAAATAAGTATTTGGTCAATAACAAAATTTAATCTCAATACTTTGTTATATACCCTTTGGTGGCAATGACAGAGGTCAAACGTTTTCTGTAAGTCTTCACAAGGTTGTCACACACTGTTGCTGGTATTTTGGCCCAATCCTCCATGCAGATCTCCTCTAGAGCAGCAATGTTTTGGGGCTGTCGCTGGGCAACACGGATTTTCAACTCCCTCCAAAGATTTTCTATGGGGTTGAGATCTGGAGACTGGCTAGGCCACTCCAGGACCTTGAAATGCTTCTTACGAAGCCACTCCTTCATTGCCCGGGCGATGTGTTTGGGATCATTGTCATGCTGAAAGACCCAGCCACATTTCATCTTCAATGCCCTTGCTGATGGAAGGAGGTTTTCACTCAAAATCTCACGATACATGGCCCCATTCATTCTTTCGTTTACACAGATCAGTCGTCCTGGTCCCTTTGCAGAAAAACAGCCCCAAAGCATGATGTTTCCACCCCCATGCTGCACAGTAGGTATGGTGTTCTTTGGATGCAACTCAGCATTCTTTCTCCTCCAAACACGACAAGTTGAGTTTTTACCAAAAAGTTATATTTTGGTTTCATCTGACCATATGACATTCTCCCAATCCTCTTCTGGATCATCCAAATGCTCTCTAGCAAACTTCAGACGGGCCTGGACATGTACTGGCTTAAGCAGGGGGACACATCTGGCACTGCAGGATTTGAGTCCCTGGCAGCGCAGTGTGTTACTGATGTAGCCTTTGTTACTTTGGTCCCAGCTCTCTGCAGGTCATTCACTAGGTCCCCCCGTGTGGTTCTGGGATTTTTGCTCACAGTTCTTGTGATCATTTTGACCCCACGGGGTGAGATCTTGCATGGAGCCCCAGATCGAGGGAGATTATCAGTGGTCTTGTATGTCTTCCATTTTCAAATAATTGCTCCCACAGTTGATTTCTTCACACCAAGCTGCTTACCTATTGCAGATTCAGTCTTCCCAGCCTGGTGCAAGTCTACAATTTTGTTTCTGGTGTCCTTTGACAGCTCTTTGGTCTTGGCCATGGTGGAGTTTGGAGTGTGACTGTTTGAGGTTGTGGACAGATGTCTTTTATACTGATAACGAGTTCAAACAGATGCCATTAATACAGGTAACCAGTGGAGGACAGAGGAGCCTCTTAAAAAAGAAGTTACAGGTCTGTGAGAGCCAGAAAGCTTGCTTGTTTGTAGATATAATATAATAGATATAAATAATACTTATTTTACCGAGGAATTTACCAATAAATTCTTTAAAAATCCTACAATGTGATTTTCTAGACTTTTTTTCTCATTTTGTCTCTCATAGTTAAGGTATACCTATGATGAAAATTACAGACCTCTCTCATCTTTTTAAGTGGGAGAACTTGCACAATTGGTGGCTGACTAAATACTTTTTTGCCCCACTGTATCAATTCTCAAAGATTAGAAACATGTTTTTTTGAGATCAGTCAAAAGGGGTAAAAACAGATTTTTCACTATTACAGTATATACAACCGGATCTGCTTTTTCATGGGTTTAAATAAAGGATTTTTGTTATAAGAGACAATGAATGTAACTTTGTGCATCACTCCTTTACTGGTTAAAAAAAACATCCGGACCTTTAAAGGGCTCCGGGGGGGTGTGTTCTGGCTTTGAGGTGGCATTTGATAAGTTTTGGAACCTGGTAAGTATTAAATCATCTTTACTTATTATTATAATTACTAATAATCATTATTAAGTTTAAATGTTTGTCTTTTTTGTTCTTTTGATGCCAGGCAATGGTGGATGTGGATGAAACATACAGGGAGCCTCTTTTGGGACAAGCTCTCTATCACCAGAAAGCGCTTACTGTCACAAGGGTGATTCATTTGAAAAAATGTAATATACATCTGAATATTCAGAACAACCAGTAGTTATTAATCCTTAATCACATCTAATATTGTTTTAAAAATATTAAATAGAAAAATAAACTTTTTTTACTATGCTTTATACTGAAGAATTTTTTTAAAAAACTAGTTTTTTTACACTTTAATATAATTATATTGCTTTATAACTCTAATTTAATTTATTTTCTATTACAGCTATTTGAAAAACTAAAAGTTCAAGAGACTGTGGCCCTCGATGCAATTGAGAGGAAGTCAGACCTGCACAGTAGTTCATCTCATCTCGGAGACCAAACCAGGAGAACCCACCCCAAACATACCCAGGAGAGATCTGAACCCTCTGAGAAAGACAAGACTACATTAAAAGTGACGCAAAAATCTGAAACCAAGCCTAAAGTGGAATATGGTAGAGTGCACACACGTCATGTCAATCAGTTTTTTATATGAGGAGAAAACGTTCTTCTTGTGAACATGCAGCAGGACTAAAGACTACCCAGATGAAAGATTAGTTTACTTTCTATGGGGATCACCCAGAAAGGTTTTGTAAAATGAGTGTATCATATTGATATGTATATATTAACAGGTGAAAATATGTTAAAAGCTGAGCAAAATAAGCTCTTTTTAATTGTGGTTGTGTTCATGATCTAAGGTTGTATACTCAACACACACACTGTTTATTTTTGCTGCTTTGAATGACCACTAGGGGGAAGTAAGACACTGATGCACTGTAAGCATTGGTCTAATTTGTTGTATTTTGTAAATTATCAAGGGGAAAATGGTGATATATTTAACAAATCTTTGCTGATATTCACATCACTGTTCTGTTAAAAGGAAAGTCAATCTGGCCAGCCAGTACACACTCTTATTTTCATGTCAAACTGAATTTTCTGTTAGATGTTTACCTCTTTTAGCGTAAAAAAAATTGCAGTTGGGTCTCCATGGATTAAAAAAAAAAAAACAGTATAAATGGGTTAATTGAGCTTTTTGTGGTTGGAAATTGTATGTAGCACTCAAGGCTTTTTGTCGTGACATGTTTGCTTTTGTTTTTTTCCCTCACTGCATAAGCCATATACACATTTACTCCCCTCATGAAGAATATTTACAGTGGGGAAAAAAAGTATTTAGTCAGCCACCAATTGCTTTCTCTTCACTTTTTAAAAATCTTAGTCTTCCATGTGATTTACTCAGTCACATGTCCATGTACATTACTTTAAATCATATATACATTCCTCCTGTATGAAGATGTTCTATTATAGTTACATATATATTTATGACTTAAACAGTAATTGCTGATCAAATTGCTCTAGTTTTATTCATCTTTAAAAATGACCTAACCTAGTTAAGAATTAGTAAAAAAAAGATAAATAAATAAATTGACACTTATTGACCCCAAACTTTTGTTTTTATTACTTATTTGGAAAAATATGACAATATAAATTAAATGAAAACGCAGTAAGAAGGTTTCAAACTCTAATAGTAATAGTCTTGATTCTAGTCAAATTTCATAAACATAGGTAGAGCTTTATGCTTTTAAGCTTTATATAGCACCCTTTAAAACAGAAACAGTATTCACAAAGTGTCAAGAGAACAATCAGTCATGTTTTTGTGTCTGAATCTAGTTTGCTCTTACTTTTATACTTTAATGTTATGTTATTACCGATACAGTGTTTCCCACAGACTTGCACTCAATGGGCCTCATTCATGAAACACGGGCAGAACTAATTTTTGTGTAAATCATTCGGAAAGTCGCTCTGTAGGGTTGGGTATCGTTTGGGATTTTTCGATACCGGTGCCAAATCGATACTTTTAATACGGTTCCAGTGCCTAAACCGATACTTATTAAAAAATAAATACATAAATAAATAAAAATTCCCCCCAAAAACCCCCTTATATGGACAAAGGCATTGTGATTTTATTTGTAACCGAGTAAACAGAACATATAAACGTTTTGAATGATAAAACAAAGACAATAAACACTCGACTGCGACAATATAGTTTATCTGTGTTATTTAAGCCATCTCTGGTATTGTCATAATAATTAGGTATATAATAGGGTGACCATATTTTAGTTTTCAAAAAAAAAGGACAGTAGGGGGTGGGGTTTGTGGGCGGGGCTTCACCTAACAGTATATGTAGCAAGGTTTTTTTGTTTGTTTGCTTATTTTGTTTTTTATAATAAACAAAAAGAAAACAATTAG